TATATATATATATATATAAGAGAAAAACTTGTAACTGACACGTGATCTTCAATATACTCTTATATTCATACATTAAGAATGTGCCAGCTCCGGAGTATAAAGGTTCAGAAACAAAACAGACATGACTTAAAAATAAAGCCCATTTATTAAACAAAAAATAACGAGCAAACATCCATAATACCATTTATAAAAATTACGATACTGGCACTGAGAGGCTTACCTCAGCGAGGCTCTTGCGAACAATTTTACTTCTTTGTCCCCATTATTACACCATTTGTGTATGAATCATGAGAGAAAAGTAGCGGAGAAAAAAAACTCCTCGGAAAAAACACAGGGAAAAAAAGCACCGAAATGAAAGTACCAGAAGAGAGAACGTGCAATATCACAAAAAAAATCATTAAGTTTTGATATGAAGACTTTTTAAAAAAAATTACAACTATTTAATAACCGATTAATGGTCACGACATGACCTAATGATCGATATACGTATAATTTTAGATGTTTGATCTTAGGTTAGTAAAGCGGCAAGTCTGATCAGGTAATAAAATCGATCATTTAAATTATTGTTGCTTTTGAAAAGAGCAATTAAAATCAAAATGGAACTGTTTTTAACCTGAAAATAACGTCTGATTTAAATAATCTTAATATTTTTTATTTAATTAATGTTAAGGTTTAATAAGTATAAATTTATAATTAACAAGTGAGCTTGATTTCAACTAAGTAAAAATAAGTGCTTAAATAACAAGTGTATTTAAAATACTTTTTAGAAAAAGATTTTTTTAATGTATTATTTAAATGGAATTCGATTTTTATTTTATAAACTATACTTCGTAAATTCACATTAAATATCAGCTGAAGAGCGGTAATACGAGGACTGTTTTTTAAGTAAGGGCCGTTTGAAAATAAAAACCAACCGAAAGAAAATTTTCAGGAAGCAAATTTATTTTTTGATTCTACATACGTTTCCCTTCTTTTTTTTTAAAAAGTAATTGCCAACTTCATTTAAACACTTATCATATCTAATTATAACTAGATTTAGAATACCCTCGTCAGAGTAACTTGCCGCCTGCTCCGATAACCAAGAGGTCATGACCGTTTTCACGTCTTCGTCATCGTTGAACTGGTTGGAGCCAAAATGAAAAAAGATGAAAATCACTTGGTGCAAGGTCTGAGCTGTATGCAGGGGTGGTCCAGAACTTCCCAGCCAAAAAAGTTCTTAAAAAGCTCGGGACTGAGCTGTGGAAAACGTCATTGTCATGGAGGAGCAAAATTTCATGTCAGCATGCCAGTAGGAAGCTTCTTAAACTTCACAAATCTGCAGATGAATGTATGCAGATTTTTTGCAGACTAAATGCGGATCACTGACCGTACCTCATAGGCCGCGGACAATTTGTTAAACATTTTAAAGACACAGAACTGACCGTATAGGTTACTTACACAGCTGTAACTGAGCACAGTTGTTCCCAAGGGATGCCAGGACACGACGCACGCGTCACCTATTAGTGTACACAACGAAACAAATCTTACTTAAGAAACAGCCCTCGTAGCATTCCAAAAATACCAATTTTATAAATACAGTTAAAAAAAAATAGAATTCATCTGGTAATTATTAATTTGAGTAATTATTATTAAAAAAAAGTGTTAAGACATTACTTTGTTTGTTTCTCATAAATTTTCCATTTTTCAAGCTTTAATTGAAATTATTAAAGAAAGTATGGAGAAAGATTCTAAAGCAATTCTATACTTAAATAAAATTATCTAATTTAATAAATAATTATCTAATTTAATAATTATATATATTCTAAGTAGGGATTTTAGGGTGCTTTTTCCGTATTATTCTTGAAGATTTGTGTGATAATTCCACAAAAGAAATTTTTACTTAGTTCAATTTCCGTGTGATTCTGAATTATCCATAACTTATGGACATGAGTGTAAATGAAATCTTTGAATAATGTTTTTCCATACAATACTACATCAAATCGAATATTTTCTGATAACCAAATATAAATTCGAGTATAATAAAACAACCTCTTTCGAATGATGGAAAATATATTAGCCAAAAACATTTCTTAACATGCTGTATACTCCATAAAAATAAAAGAAAAAAAAAGTGCCGGAATTTTGATGCCAACTCAATATATCACTTTTAAACACTGACATCAACAAGATTTTTTAAGATTTCCTTAATTTTCATTTCAGAACGGAAACGATTAGTGGATTCCAAACCCATTCGATTGGATGATAAGGGGTGGATTCAGTTCAACGTGGCCCTTTCTCTCACCCATTGGTTTCAGCACACCAACAAGAACTACGGATTTAGTGTTGAAGTAGAAGACGAGTTCAGGAACAAGCTCAACCCAAATCTATATTTTGATGCCATGAACTGTTCCTCTAACATTCGTAAGTCTCATTAAAATTTGCACATAATAGTTACAGATTAGAAATTCGGAAGACGAGATAAAAAAAGAATTGTTCTTTACAGCTCCATACCACCCTTTTCCGAATCTTGTGAATCTAAGTGGTGAAAGGATTCTATCTCAGTTTCTGAGCAACTACACCTATCCAACTCTGGACTTGAGGACGTCAGAAAGATTCCGTGGTATACACTCTCTGGTCGAAGACAGGGTGCGAAGATCAGCCGATAACTCCTCATCTTCTTGTACGGGAGAACTAGAATATGTCTCCTTTGCAGGTAAGCTTCACTGATTGTAATCAAAGAATGCTGGGTGATCTCTAATCACTACCCCTTACTTGCTTGTTATCCGACCAAAGAATTCACAATTGCAAAATATAGTAATTCTCAAACGACAAAACAAGGGAAATGAAAACTGTATTCATAGTGAAAGCTTTAAAATTCAAATGCATATTTTTTGAAGTAAGTTATAAAAGTTAACAATAGATGGCGCTACATTTTATTCCGGACAGTCGACATAAATGAAAGATGGTGTTGTGTTCTGTACAAGGCTCTGAAGAAGGACTCTGTATTGCGACAATACAGCATAGTAAAATTTTTTTGGCAGCTTATGTTTGGTTTTAGAGCTCTTTATAGCGTGCAACGCCATCTGTTAGCAACATTTATATTTACTAATTTCGAAAGTTACATTTGAAAGCCATGCAGTTTTCACTATCAATTTAAAGTTTATATCACCTTTTATGCTCAATATTTTGAGAATTATTCAATTTTGTAATCTGGTGCTCCTTGAACGAGTACCCTGTATATGAAATATTCCGTAAGACTGCCATTAATATACATTTTTAGAATCCTTAAAAATAAAGACATAAAAGTCATCATTGAGAGTCATAAATAGTTATTTAAGAATTATTACATTCGAATGTTTTGTGACAGAACTGTCACATGGTTCTATAAAGATATCTAAGTTAGCGTCACTTCACTAATCTGTCCAATGAAAAATCATCAATGATCAATCATTTACAAGTAACAACCGATAGGAATACGTTTCTATTGGAATGAGGTAAAGATTGGCCAATAGAAATAGTGAAAACAACTGATTGCCATTCACAACCACAAAATGTATGGCAATTGATTTATTTATTCTAATTAAGTGTAAGTTGAACTTGCCTTTAATAGTGTTTGACATCATTGACAAAACTGGATGTTGATTTTAATAACTAGTTGTCAAGATGAAAAGTCAGGAGCAAGATTCATGAAAATAGCGAAAGATTTTTTTTTTCTTTCGCAATAAGGAAGATAACTTGACTGGAGGTTGCCCTCATATATTTTATTTATCCTTTCTTAACATAAAGAATCAAGATTCAAAGAAGGAAATAAGGGGAAATGATGATTGTTCTACACTTTTCTGTATTAATACCAGACATTTTGATACCCTTCTGCCCCTTGTAGCCAACTTCCCATAGTATACTCATTGTATCGAGCTTTTACTGAATTAAATATTTCGCAAACTTTACGGCTGATTCATATAGAGGTTTACCAATCATTTTATTTTTTCAGAAGTGGGACTAGATGAATACATTGTGTGGCCAACAGGGGTAGTGTGGACATTTTGCGAAGGAAGTTGTTCTGTTCAGCCGCATAATCGAGAGTCATTCTTCGCCCACTGGATTCAGCGACTCTTCAAAGTCAAGAAAAAGAATTTGGTAAATTAATTCTTCTGAAAATTACATGCTTTAAATCGCATAACAAACAATTGCGATGTTAAAGTATAGGGATACTTCCTGTAGCAAATATGTTAAAAAATTGGCTTTTCAATTGCTCAAAAACCAACAAAGTGTCTTGATTTGTCTTTTTTTAAATGATAGTAATAGGAAAATTTTGAAATTAAAATGCTTTCACACTTTACAAATAATTGCATTTCATGTAACCAGAAACAGGTCGTAATATTAATTACTGAAAATAAAAATGTATATACTTAAAAAAGAGGGAATATTTTCAAACTTTTTACAATTTATTAATTGAATTACATTATAAAAGTTACAAAAAATGTATCCTATGGTGAAAATACATTTTTAAGCAAATAATCGCAGGAATTTTGCTGTTTAAATTTACAAAATACACTGATTATTTATGTATCTACATTGCTTCCATATTTAATATATTATTATAAGAAACAATAAAATCACTATCGATTTTATTTTTATTTTGCTACTCAAAGACTTCTTGAAGGATTGATTTCATAAATAATGAATTTTAATTTTTTTTTTATCAAATTGATTGTCAGAACGGATAATGTGCCAAAAAAATGGACCAACCGGAATAACTTTTGATCTAATAATCTGATCTTTGCGATCTAAGACTCAATCTTAATGGTTCGAGGGGTAACCTCAAATATGCTGATTAATTAGTGCAGACGATATTTAAAATTATGAAATAGGACATAAAAACATGTCTTCTCTGAAAAAACATACATTTTCTTAGCCGGATTCAGATTTCTGACTCCCAAAATATGGGGAGTAGCCGCAATCGCAGAAATAGGGTCTTCCCAATAGTTTGGTCAGGAGAAGTTAGGAACCTCAATGTTTAATTTTACTTTTTGCGTATTTCACCATGTCTCGAGAACCCTTTGAGTGAATTTAAAAAATTTTGCACGATATGAAATTCGTTTGTTCAAAGATATTTCCACGCAAAAAATAAATTTTAGTAAATATTTATTTTTATTTTATTTAATTATAGTCGAAACATTTGAATTGTAAGGTATACATTTTTTTACGTCATTTTAAAGTCAGTAATTTTACATGGCAAAATACAAAATTTGACCGAAATCGGTCGAATAGTTCCTGAAAAATCAAATTTTAAAACAGTCGTATCTCCTGACCACACTACCGAAACCATATTTCTATCTCCTATATTTTGGGAGCCAGAAATCAGAATCCGTCGAAAAAATTGCATGTTTATTCAAAGAAAGTGCGTTTTTTTTTTCCTGTCTGATTTCGTATTTTAAAATGTCGTCAGTACTAATTAATTAGCATATTAGAAGCGAAGAATATACATTGAAAAGAAGACTAGTTTCCTTAGGTATAATGTAAACCAGTCCTCCAAGGTTTTGTGTGGTCCCTGTGTATAACGGGAAAACAAAATTTAGGGGCACATGGCAGAAGTTCTTGAAACTGGTTTCCACCCTCCTTTCTTCTCCCAACCACTACAGAGATAGGGGAGAAGAAGAAAAGTTTTCTCTTCTTATTTGTTATTGGAGATCGAAATGGACTACAGGTGGCGTAGAGCAGAACTCTCCACCTATGGCAACACGCTTTCCCCACTATAGCGTGTGGAGAGTCATAGAAGTAGGTTAGTTTCTGTCTTAATTTTCAAACAGACTAAAATATTTTAAGTTAGGAAACTATATGGAACTGAAAACTACATTGAACATAGTTCTAAAAGAAAGCGTCATAGAAATTTTAAAAAAAAATATTTTTAACAATTAAATACGAAACATATTTAGAAATGGAAAAATGTCATAGTACATTCCTATACAATTAAAAAGAGGAGGAGAGGGAAGTGAGAAGGATCAAAGGCATGAAACCGGTCTTTTCTTTGATGGCGTAACCGAGCGTTGCGATCGCCTATTGGTTCGTTCTGCATTTTACACTATTGGCAAACGGTACTGTACTGTTAATAAAGATATTTCTTTGAGAATACCGTAATATCATTCATGTTAATTAAATCTGCCAACATATTTTGGCATAGAAAGTAATAATAAAAATGGCGGTGCGAGTGGTAGCACACCCAACCATACATATAGAGTCGTCGGTTCATGGTTGACGTACCTCCTGACCGTCACTTTGCTTCTAATGCCCATGCACTGGATCTTAATACGTATAAATAGTCTGTTAAATCTGAGTATGTTGCTCATCCTGAAGTTGATTTTCTGGTATAGCATACCGAACTGAGCAGTTCCCCTCATTAGTTACGTATTCTAAGAGCTGGACTTCTTCTCCTTTCTATATTCTTTGTTAGAGGTTACCCCCCCCCCCTCGAAAAATGAAGATTGAGTCCTAAAACGTGAAGATCCAATCATTAGATCAAAAGTTATTCAGAGTGGTCCATTTTTTTATTTTGCGCACTGTACATGTTAAGTTTATTCATACCTTAAAATTATTTTATGGACATGTCCTGGAATCAAAATGTATAGTTCTGTATATTTTAATTGCGTTAAATTATTTTAGATAATCTGCATAATTTTAATTTTATTAAAATATTTCATATAACGTCAATAAATTGTTTTACATTACTTGAAATAATTTAATATATAGAGTTTATGTACAATTTAACTAGATTCATACTGCTAAAGCGCTTAACACTCAACATGCCTTCCTACCATACTTCATTAATTGTTCGTAGTAATAGTTGGGTAACAGTTAAGTTTTACGTGGGGTGTACCATTTATGGAGAGTTATTTTCTCTTGCTCTGTTCATATGCTTCTTCAAGTTTGTCTGTAGTTATAAACGCAGAACTTATAAATTCGGTTTTTTATAAGCGTTAATAACCGAAATGGGTGATTGACACACAGTCGCTTTGGAAAATGTCCAAATAGAGTAGGTCTATTTAAGCGCCTCTGCCCTGTATACATTTGCAACGGTATGCCCCCTACATCAATATTTGTTTAAGGTCGTCAAGTGCCCAGGTATGTCTTTAACCGGTACTCCGAACACTGATGTTTCTCCTAATCTATCCTCAGCAGAACATTAAAATATCAAATATTATCAACGAATAGATTAATATCAAATCGTATATAACAAATATTTTGGACATTCACCAAATGTGATTGTTGACATTCACCTGTGAAAGTCGACATTCTCTTGATTTCGGTCCTTCGCAGTAACATAAGATCAACTATAATTCTTTACAGTAGGTAAAATTCCAAAAATTTCACCCACTCGCTTACCTAAAAAAAGGGTTTTAAAAGTTAAATTAGTTTTTGGATTATAATGTAAATGAATTTCTTTTTAAAAATCAATCTCAGCACCAAAAATATTTTAACACTACTAGGAAAAAGTGCCTCTATAAAGGGCACTTATTTTATTAATTCTGTATAATTTAAATTATTTGAGATATTGAATTGAATGATTTGTTCTAGGAATCAAATTGCGTTGTGACCAGACGAGAATCCATGCCAGCCCTCCTTTATGATGGAGAGAATCAAGTGTTCGAAACTGTTCTGGAAGATTTTGTACCCACAAGTTGCGGATGCAGACCTTCGTAACACTCGCTCTTCTTCGCCTGTAAAATAATGAACGCAACTACCTCATATTTTACCAGTACATATTATAATATTATTTTGTATATAGTTATGTATTTTATCCTCATTATTTCACTACTGAATGAATTTTATTTTTAGCTCATTTTTATCGAACTTCCTTTATATTCTTCTACAAAACGGGCAGATAGACTTTCGTTTTATGTGTTCGACTGAACCAGTACCTCCAAGAAAAGAGAAGGCCTTAGCACGGTTTTTACCATAAACAAGAAATTTGATCCTTTAGTTAGTCCATACGTAATGACATCTTTCTTATTTTTCACCCACTGCGCAGTTTATGTTCGTTAGGTCGGACTACTAAATTGATCCGTGCTGAGGCATTTTTTCTTCTAGGAGGTGTTGACTTAATGATGATGATAAGTCAGAAGTTGAAGTTAGTTTTGAAAATGAAATTTCATTTTCTCTTTTTAAAACTTCCCAGTAGAACACTGAAGTCAAGCATCACTAGCTGCGGTCAGTAAGCGGGTGGCTGACCACTTTGATCAGCTTGCATAGGGACCGAGGATGCGCGGTATCGGTCTTCGTTAAACTGTTCTGCCATAAAGTGCTCGAAGACGCGCGCAGGTCGTCGGGCTACCAAAGCAGGGGAGCCATCCCCTCTGCAGAGGATCAAAATTGAGATGGCATATCTTCGGATCATCCTCAGGGATGCTTCCCAGATCGTCGGCAATAGCCCATTGTGCAGCTCTAGTGTGATGTAAATAAAAGTACCTAACTACCATTTTAAAACCATCTAAAATAAAACATTATACCTGCTGAATAATAATTTATTAAATTTTGAGTTATCTTTAGAGGACTCTTTATCGTGGGTGAAGCGCTTCCGTTCAAATTCCGTTACATCCTACATTAATAAGTAAAAATTTTAACCATAGAAAAAAGTGAATTCGGGTAAACCTAGAGAAAACCTTAAAATCTCAAACGCTGAAACGTTTTTTCTTCTTCATAATATCAAACATACAAACAAATTACGTATACAAACAAATAATCATCATTTAACGGTCATGCTTTATTTTGCTCGCGCTTTTTAAAAAACAAAAAAATTTCAGTAGTTGAAACTTCATGGTATCTACTTTAGGTTTCAAAACCAATTTGAAACAAAAGACCTCTGTTTATTTCACTGTTCATTGCTGATTGCTCTGTTAATTGTTAAGAAAAAGTTAAATGTTATTCTCTGTTAATTGCATAATATTTTGACAGTTCATATTGTGTATATATTTAACATATTTTCTTTCTTTCTTTTTTTCGTTACGGAATGTGTTTTAGAGTATATTGTTCATTTATTTACTCACTTCAACGTAAATTTTATTAAATAGTTCTTTTCCTTTATCGCACACTCTTTTTTCTCTCGACAGTTTCTTTGCTATCGACATGATTATGATGAAAATAGAATATAAAATAGAATACACATAATAAAAATACACATAAAATAGAATACACATAATAAAAACTAAAATTTCCCAACGACCGAGTTTTTTAACAGCTTTTTTTAAAAAACTTAGAAACAAAAATTAAAAAGAAACTGTTAAAAAAAATACAGTTCCTTTTTTTAAAAAAAAAATGAGACTTTAGAACCTTTTAATCACCATTACTTAAGATAATGAAAGAAACGTAAGAAATAACATTTTTAAAAAGTTTTCTATTAGGTTGGTGAAAAGTTTCTTTCCGGTCTTTTGAGAAATTTTGAGGAGTTGCGGACTTTTGAGGTGAACTTTTTGACTCACTCAGACAACAATCTGATGCTTGATCAATAGTCAAAATTTTTAATCAATATATGTATCGATAAGGGGCCGTTTACAACTGATGATTCAATATTTTTGATCTCTCTTTGTCACGCTCGTTTAAACACTACTTTATCATTTTTAATTAAAAAACATAATTATATATTTTTAAACTGATCACACAGAATAAACATTTTGTAACATTTATTTAAGCGCCTTCAAGAAGTAAATTGAGTCTACCACAAATAAACTACCGATTTCTCAAATGTTTGCTATAAGCGTATGAAATAACAGTTGTTGGAACGGGATCATTAAAAACGTTCAATACAAATGAGTGTTCATTATATCGCGAGTCCATTACAGAGGGGTTAAACAGTATACGAAAATTTGCCAAAATATCACTTAAATCCTTCATCCACTAAGAGTGCTTAATTAGGGAAAGATAAATGTTTTTTTTATTATAAAAAAGTAATAAATTATTATATATATACATATATATATTAAAAAATAATGCAAGCATATATTATTCATCATTGTTGAGTAAGAAGATTACAGTATTATTTTAAAACTTGTACATATTAATATCTGGAGAAAAAAAAACTATTGTCATTCACATTATGTAAATTATTGTATCTCACATGTGAAAGAAATATCATTTATCTTAATGTAAAATCTCGATGTTTATTATTTATTGCATAAAAATATTTTTTAGAAAAACCTTATATTTTATGTCATCTCTTTAATAAAAGCAGTTCGTTGTTTTTAAGAATGCAATCTACGATTAAATACGTCTTTGTTATAGATACAATTAGTTTCTATACAATATCTTTAGTATGCTCAACTATATTTGGATGTTAGTAATGTTCTAATTTTTGTCAATAAACAGCAATTAAGGTTTTTAGAAAAGATGCTTTTGCTCAAAGAGAATGTATACTAAAAGGGTTCAATTTTATGTCAAAAATGTCGGTACATTTTGAAAATAATGTCACTTGTGTTCATGAAAAATGTGGTGAAAATTTTATTCTCATACACATTTTGTAAATTTTAATTTTGAAAAGAATCACTTTTGTTACGAAATGTGTTTCATTATTTCTCATCGTATAAAACACTTTTAGCCGATAAAAAAATATTTTTACAATGAAAACATTTGCTCTGAAAATATTTCTGTTATAAGAGTCAGCACACTTTTAAAGATCCCCAAGAAATTATTTAATTGTGTCCCTCTAAATTTTGAAAGCTTTATTATATGAAAAAATGATTAACAAATAAATAAATAAATATTGAGATTATTATTGCATGAAATCAGTTTTACTTAGTTTTTATATAAAAAGTACTTAAGTTAAACAGTTTTTTTCCCCCTCAAATAAAATTTATAATTTTATAGGTTGTAGTTTAAAAATACCTTTTTCACTTCCTCAATTAATTTTTGTGAATAAAAGTTCTTCCTGAACCCAAAGAGACGCAATTTTTGAAAGGTTTCATCCTCCAGGTAAAATGTACTAAATTCCATTTTTCACGCTAGATTTAATACAAACGTGAGAAGTTAAAAATGTGTACACTTTTCGTTTATTCTAGGAAGAAGGGATTTTGTTTCATGTGTAATTATTTTATTTGCGTCATACAACCTAATGAACAGTCAATCTATAATTAAAAGTGCGATGCATTCTTAAATTGCATCTTTTGTGAATGAGACACAAAATCTGATTTCCCTCGAAGCTAAATTTCTTCGCTAAAATAAGTTAATAAATGAGTTAGAAAAAGCTAAGCAAAAGAACAGTGTTTAAAAAGAGAAAAAAAAATTATTTCTAATAATTTTAAATGTAGACAAAAGACACTCTAATATTTTGAAAAGTGTCCTTATGTTGAATAGAACAGGTTTTCTCTGAGTTGCGTCATATCCTCACTCTTCATAGTTTTGGGAAATCTTATTTTTTTAAGTTTGAATAAGAAGTTGGAATATTGGCGAAGCTAAAAAGGAAAACTTTCCTGAAACCATGGTAAGGGAGAGGGGAAAAGTGTGGAGAGTGGGAAAATCATGTAACCTATAGAGGTATGTTTAATGAATGGGATTAAAAGGCTTATAAACTGCCATAAAAAATTTGCAGATTTTAAGGGCTTATTCATCGAAGCAATTATCATAGAAATTTCTGATTACAATTTCAGTTTCTTTTCTTTCAGTCATTTCAAAACAACCATTGAAATGTGATATAAATTTCGTAAGAACAAAAGCATTAGAAACTAAAAGAAAGGAGATCTTGCATCCTGAAACAACGAACTGCTGCGGACATAAATGAGCTGTTTTTAATTTAATTTGAAATTTTAAAAAAAAGGAAATGTAAACTTTATTTTATTATTTCAGGTACGAAATAAAATAAATTATATTTTAAACAAAACTGTTGAATATTTTTGTTTCATTAATCTCTGATCTAAGCGAGTAAAAATCAAACAGTTGAATAAGAATGTCATTTTTTAAAACTCGTTTTCGTGTCTATTAAAGTGATATCTTGCTTTCTATATTTCGTCCCTTCTTTCGAATTCAAATCCCTTATTCAAATTTCTTACGAAATTATACTTAAATATACAAGAAAAAAATTACGCCAGATGAAACTTACTGTTAATTGAAATCCTTTCTGAGTGACTAGAGAGCTCTTGTTTTATTCTCTTCTTCTGTGCAAACCGACCCTTGTAGTTTTTAACCCAATCCAGAAGACAAGGGAACTTCTGGATCAAGTATTAAGAGGAATTTGCATTCATGTATGACTTTTTTGATGGAATTAACCAGCATTTACGTTACATGGAGAGGAAAATCATTATAGCCTACGGATAGCCTAACGACAAGGGCACTCTAACCCATGATCAATATCATTGAAGATTTTTTACTTGTCAGCACAGTAGTCGGTGGGAGCCGTGTGAGGAATTCGAATCGAACAGCCATCGCTGGAATTCGAACCCGGCTCACCTCATTGGAAGGCGAACGCTCTATTTCCTGAGCCACCAACTTAGAATTAATTGTCATTATAATAACGATTTGGTGTAATAATCAATCAAAATTTTGACCGTTTTCCGATTAACTAGATTGATTCAATTTTAGCTGGAGCTTTGCGTTGGCTGGCAATTAAAAAAAACATTTCGATAAAAATTTGGAAAAAAAAAGACTTTTTTAAAACAATATATATATATATATATATNAACTATATATATATATATGCAAATAAATAAATACAAGAAAACACGAAGAAAGTGCAGCAGTGCAGTAGGAACGGCACTTTAAAACCCTCTAGTTACACTCATTTTGCGCTTTTGTTTTCATATTTTGCAATCTGGCAATCTTTCTGTGAAAACATTTTTAAATCATTCTTGAAAAATTTCCCGTCCATGTAAGTATGATTTCCTGATTTCGCTACTCGCTTTATAGTCCATTTTTTTATGCTGTTTTTTCTTTTTATTTTATTTTATTTTCTGTTTCTACATGTTATTTCTACTTTTTTTGTTCTATTTTACTTGTTGTAATTTTTGTAAAAAAAAATTTTGAGTGCTCCTCACACTATTGTATTAATATATTTTGCTTTGGCTTTATTGATACAATATCAGAAAGCACTCTGTTTTGCGGATATAATCGTGTGGGCTGATGAAAAGATTATATCTCTTTTTTCCCGGTTTTTTTTAAATAAAATTTCATCCTTTTTTTTATACTGTTGTTTGTTATTTTTTTACTTATTATTCCCCCCCCCCTTTTTTTTCATATGTTTATAATTTTTCTTTGTTTTATCTTCATTTTGAACTATATATGAAGTGTCGGTTGATATATATATGTATGAAGTAATATATTTTTATCATAATGCCATATTAACCACAAAAACATTAAATAATATAGTTATTATTTTAAATCTGCATGCTTTCAGATAAAATGCAAATAAAATTAAAATATACCACCTTTATTAGAAAATACTTAAATACAAGATACAGTTTTTACAACAACTTTTCCTTCCTTATTATTAGCGAGAGAAAAGGGGAATTCTTTCATACCATGACAAGCAGCTCCTAAAATAAAAATTGTTTAGCAATAAAAACAAAAATTTTTAGTCATTAGTAAACAATTTTTCGCCATATTTATACTGCCCGTATGACTGAGAGAAACAAGTTCTAAATTTTGCAGAAATAAAAATTTAATAATAATGTTTATACATTGAAAAAGATATTGACATAAAATCTAGACGGGTAGCAAAATCTCTTAATTGGTGAAAAATAACAGAAATCATACTTCCGTGATTATTCATTTCCCTGATTATTAGGTAAAATTCTTGGGTGGGAGATTGAAATAAAAATTATGGCACTTTGAAGAAAAGAACATTTTTTTTTAAAAAAATATCTAAACTTCAAATAAACTTCACTTCTTTTATCAAAAGCAAAAGTTTTTAGTTTTTAGCAAACATTTTCATTTTCTGTGAGTATTCGCAAATTTTTAAGGTGATTTGAAACGCCTAAGTTCTCCAGATTTTCTCTGAGGGGTATATGAGCGCTGAATAAATAAATATGAGCAATAAATAAGTAAATTATACCGATAGTATATGAGCCCTAAATAAATTAGTAAAATAATAAATTTGCGACTTAATCACTTTTTAACGATTATGACATGCAGGAATGTTGACACAAAAAAGGACAAAGTATTTACCATTTTAAAAGCAATATTTTTTTTTTTTTGAATTGACCACTTGTGAAAGAAAGACATATTTATTTATTTATTTTAAAAAATAAGGATGCCTGCAAAATCTTTAGAGCTTTGGAAAATAAAATTTCATAAAAAATAAATATAATAGAGAGTATTCCACAATGACCACCCTGAATATATATTTTTCAAAAACCTTGCGTTAAATGAAGTCGTTGAAGGTCAAATATTAATATTCAAACGAGGAGAACACAAAAACACTATCGAAATCGATAAAAATTGCTACTGAGGGAGGTGGAACTAAAAACACCAAAACCTGTTTGGTTGTCGTGTGAAATGTAGAGAAGAAAAATAATTAAGTTTCATCAGGCAATCAAAGTGAGTCTGCTGTTTCGAATCCCGTCTCCTTTTTTTAGTTAGATTTCGATAGTAGTTTCATTTCTTCTTCGCCTATATTAATTTACATCTCTTAATAAATAATATCTGACCTCTAAAGCTGCTGTTATGCACATTAAACTTATCTTCTAAAGTGAGAAATTAAGGGTTTTATCGTTCAAGTTAAAAAGTTTGTTTTTCGCATTCTATCAAATAATGTGTCAATTGTTTGACTGTATTAATTGACTTGATTCTCTAAATATTGAAAAATAAAGAAATTACAATACGTTAATTTCCTTAATTGTAGTAGTATTTAAAGCCGTTTCATTCTTTTCATTATAATTTTTAAATCAACTTTTCTATCAACTAATATGTTGATTATCTGATAGTTGAAATATAATTTTTTTAATGAGTGAAAAATAGATAAATAAGACTACGTTAATATAAGTATGCAGAAATGTTGCTCTACGAAATATCTTATTTTCCCTTTAACGAATGCCCAATAGTTATGTAATGTGCAGATTTTCAAGGAAGTTTGCCTACGTATTTTGAGAAATTGAACAATTTTTTGGGCACTTCAACAGATTACCTCAGTTAATCTACAAAATATCCGATTTCTAATCTTTTCACTTCCGGACAAGGATTCTAAAAACATGGAGTGAGCACATAAAATGAATGAGATGGGAATGAAGCATACCAAAATCTCCTTGCATTGTAGCAGCAACTACTGCTCCGGAAAATGTAGGGTATTTCACTATGATTCGCTTGATGGATTCTCTCGTTGCATCCATCGGATTCATTCCTCTTCGCATATTCTCCACGCTATGGAAACTAAAGAGAGAGAGAGATTATTGCATTAAAACCTTTCGGCCTCGCACGCCAGAAGGTTCCACGAAAAACTAGGAAAAAGCGAGCAGAAATCTGTCGCCACTCTTGAAAGGAGAACAATACCAAGTCAAAGTCCCATTGTGTTGGTTTCAGTGCTATTCATTAGGGTCCAACATCATTTGATGGTCACACCATCATTCAACATTTTCCATTCAGGGTTTTTGATATGTCGACAAATCATTCCATGATGCTACTTTAATACTATGATGGCAAACCATCAAGAGAAGTTTGACTCTCATGGACCAACAATCCATGATGATCTGCGAACTCTGCGATGGTTTAGTGGGAATTCTCGTTGGTTCTCATAAATATACCATCAAAACAATTTTTATGTTTGACCATCATAAATCAGTCCAAATTCCTACATTGAGGTGATGGTTACTTATGTCGGTTACCATCAAAAAGTATAATGGTTCATGATGGAATTATTCATGGCTACCATCAAGATTACGTTGCTCCATTAATGGAAAACCATCAAAAATTAACTTGGAGTCGCATGACCCATAAAAAAGAAAAACCATCCGTAACAGTCCATTGCTGGCCAGGAGATCATGGAGGTTGAGGCTCCGCGATTTCGCAACATACATCATGAATGTGACAATGTGGTTAGGCATTGGCTTACAGATCACCTTTACTTCCCAGACAAGTTAGTACCCATCTATCTAAAGCTGGGTGGGCTTCAAGCCGCCACTGGGGATCGAACCCTAGTTCTTCGCTGTGACAATTCAGTGCCTTCACCACTGTGCATGGGCGCGTAATATTTATGCGCTTAAAAAGATTATTAGTTAGTTTGAATAGGGTGGAGCTACTGCATCCATCCCACCTTAGATAATTTTTTGGGGAGCCGCCTGACTTTCAACGACCTTCCCGAAGTCTGGACTTATCACCTCCGGATATTTTAAAAATGCAGTGTTAGCAGCAAGGTTACAAAACAAAAGGCGTACGGCGTTAACCCTTCAGTTCCATGCCGAATCCCTATGGAGAAGGGACTATTGTGTAAGTAGAAAAAAGAAAGGGATCTATATCCGTATAAATTTTTTGACGAATACAGCGGGTAAAATTTATTTTCTACTTCAGAATTCGAACAACGAAAATAAAATGTTAACTTTTTCTTAAATTGCATCTAAAAGCATATCAACGTTTCGAGTTTAATACACTTCGTAATTCTATTACTATTTAAATTTTTCTTATGCAGCAGATGGGATAATTTATACCGCTTAAACTTAAGAAATACAAATGCAGGGAATACCGGACAATGGTAGTTTACATTTTAAAAAAATCAGTGACGAGAAGCAATGCAGTACATTTTGAGCTTTTCTAAAGCTACAAAAAAAACGGACAATCCACTACCCTCGGAAAGGCAATTAAAAAACCAGCATTAATTTTTAAGTTCTTATCCATCCCCGAACTAAAGTTTAAAATTAAGCAAGAGATCAAAAGCGTTTCTCCACAAATGTTGGTTAATCTTTTTAAATGTGCAAACGGTTGTAATTTGTGAATGACAAGAATCTATTATTTCCTGAAATTTGTTCTCAATAAAATTTTATTTTATTTAGCGTTCCGCGCTTCGGTTTTCCGAGTCAAGCTTTATTTCAAATATTCTATAATTTGTTGATAATTGCGCTGAAAAGTGAGAGAGAAATTGAAATAAATCTAAACGTTTGTGTCATGATAGAGGAAAGTGAGGTACCTGGGAAGGAAGCGCATCATCACATCACCATCACCAGTGGCTGCAGCTCCCCCTACATCCTCATCTACATAGGCACCTGATCCAGCGATAGGAGAATCTCCCACTCTCCTGAAAAACAGTCACTGATAACAACAACTTTAGCAATGCCTACAAAAAGTGGTGGCTTAAGTATAGTAAAGTGGCTATGAACAACAAGAAGTGCACACTACAACGCCACTTTGTGGAAAACAGATGCATTCCGTTCCTATCTCAAAGGCAATGCGAGACAAGAAACTCATTCATTTCTATATTGTTTTGGTTGTCATCAGCATAAAATTAATAAAAATCATAAAGGTATTGTTTTTCTATAAATATTTTTGTATCCCTAATTTACAGTTATTATCCTATACAACTATTATGATCTTTTAATTCAAGAGTTTAAAACTAAGAGAATTGTTTTGTTTTTTTATTGATTATTATTATGCAATTCTGCTCTACATTTTAAGATAAAGTAATTTAGAAAGGTGGTCTTATCTTGTTAACCATTTCACAACAATTATTTTTGAGCAAATAAAATTCATATATTGTAATAAATGACAGTTAAAAAGATCCGTTAAATGATTTAGAAATTAAAGATCAGCTTCATGCACAATGAGATGCAACCAAAAATAATATTATATATACACCCGTTAGGTGAGCGAAAATATTAAGTTACGATTGTGAACTCAACATATTTGTTTGAACGATACATAATGTTATAACAATATAAATGTTATTTTAAAAAATGATTACTTCTGTTCACCAATTGATCCAAATATTTATAATACCAACAGATAAGAATGTTTGGATGTGGGAAATGGAGACGTCAGCAAACAGAATTCCTGGTACTTTTCCATTATGCCAGCGCAAATCTCGCCAAGCAGACTTTTTGGTGATAGCACACAGTCGTCGGAACAAATAACACAAAGCAGACTTTATTGGCCACAACACACAGCATACAGTTAATAAATAGTTAATTTTTCACTTCGGAGGCATAAACATTTTAATATCGCTTAAAAATTTTTCAAATGGGGCTTCCTCCACATAAATTCCGCAGGATAACTTTCGAGAAGATGGCGCGCCGTACCTCAGTGTTTCTTATTTCGCCCTGCCCAACAGTCTCTATTTTCTGAGTGTGCGCTCCAGTTTCCGGGTCGACAAAGTTTTATTTATGGTTCACTTTGAAATGTTCGAAACTTTCAGCTTCCAGCTTACTAGTGCAGTATGATTTCCATGAATCGGAATATATTATAGTTTCTTTTTCGATATTTTCCTTAATTGCCTTGAAAGTGTTCGAGGATCGGTTTGGCACCTTCACAAGGAAACATTTGTTCGTTTCCCGACAAACTCCACCGAAGATCCCATGTTATTGCAGAATCCGTCCCGCATTGTTTTTTCGTTTCGTAAGCAAGCTTTCGTCCACTTCGATGATCATGCCCTGGTCCTCCTATTTTCCGTTGTTCACGTTTAAGAAAAGAATTGACACAAAAATCAAGCATGAAGTTATTCCAGTCTACAACTGTTCCGTGACTAATTTCCAACTGCTTTTCACACCATTTAACTGAAGTTAATTCTTCGCTCCAACAATAAATAAACCGCTCACACTTCAAAAAGCTCATTTTCGATGACTGAAAACATGTGCCCTTACGGATACTTCTTTTACAGCAACAAGATGAAAGGTTGCAGTGCCATTGAATTTCATCTCCGATATACAATTTCATTTCATGAGTCTTATCACAAGTTGCGATTTCAGCCAAAACGCCTTTCTCTTGAAAGAATCTAACCGCTTCTTCCTCTGTTTTGAGCAAATCCCAAATTTTCTTTGCTTCTTGCGTTAATTTTTCGTATTAAGAAAAAGACGTGACCAATAAAAGAAAACAAAATGGCCGCGACTTGCTCTGAAAATGTGGAGGCAAAACTTTATCAGAGGCGATATTCCGTTTGGCGTTGGTTGCATCATTATTGCAGCCTTTATCGCCTACGCCGGTATATTGGAAAAGTACCGAATTCTTTTTAGTACATATATGTTGAGAGAATAATGCTAACTTTGGAAGAAAAACTGTTTTCTGCCAAAAAATAACAATTATGGTTAAGCAATCATCGGGGTTGGTGAGCGGCAGCGAAAAGGGGGTTCAGCCCCCTAGTATATTATAAAAGTCTAAATACAACTTACAATGAGTAATTCACTTCCTACTCCATCTGGATAGTCAAAAAAAAAAAAAACAAATTGGTAAAAAAAGGAAAAAAGTTTCATTGAAATAAAGTCACTTCTGATTATAACCAAAATATCAATCCTATTTTTTTAAATCATAAATAAAATAAGTGATATTGCATAGCAATCCCAGGAGGACATTAGCATCCATCCTATATTAAGTTTCAATGACGGCGGTTTTCAATGAGATACCTGCAAGTGACGTAGTGTGGATGTGTCGATCGTGATGGGTTGTTGAAACTTGGCATTTGTTTGTGTTAGCAGTTGTTCTTTCCATTCTATTTCGAGTAAGTCAAGCCCGTCCAGTTTCAATTCTCTTAAGCGACACATTCTTAATTCCTTCTCAAAGATTTCAATTCTTTCACTATATATTTACATAGAGACTTAACATAAAGACAGGCACGAAGCCACGTGGAACATAAACAAACTAATTATGCATCGAAGTTGCCAGGAACACAAAACAAAACTACATCACGGTTACAATTAAATACATAATCAAATAATAAATTTAAGTTAAGTAAGAGGTGTAAGAATTCTATTTCAACTCATTCGATGTGCGATACGGCTCTGTATTTTATTAAATTATCATTCATTAAAATTCTAACTTATGTAAAGAAACTTAGCTCAACTTTAATACGCCATTTTGCTGATGAAGATTAGCTGACGTTATAGGTCACCTGTGTGGGTATGGGAGGTCTTCTTCTTGAAGTGCCAAATCATTAAAAAGCTTTTATCATGAAATAATAACAAGTTAGTTATTTGAAGTACAAATTCAGACAATATGCGTGGCAAATATTCACCTTCCACAAAATTACCCCACTTTACAGAAATTATTTAAAAGTTTAAAAAAGGTGGTATATAATACAATTTATAAAAAGTAGTTTTTAAAAATACAAATTTTAGAATTTCAAACCCTCAGTTTTTTATTTTCTTATCTGTTTCTACATTTATCCCTTTTTTGCTTTTGGTTTATCATGATTTGCATAATATTATGCTCATTATTATTCAAAGTTAACAAATTCATTTAACTATTGGTACTTAATTTACTTTTCTAGAAAAGGAGCACATATGTAAGTTTACCTAAACAATTTTTAATGCAGTATCAATAAAGCAAAAAATATTTCATAAATACAATATATGTTTTCTAAAACAAAACAATTTTCGTCCAATCAAACAAATTATAAAACCAATCATACCTCCTACATTTCATTAGTTGTATAGAATTAAAATCAAAATGTCTTTCAGAATTAGTTTAAGTAATTGAAATATATATGAAAATTTTACTAATTTCAAACAAATGGAATTTAATCTTTATTATTAAATATTACTGTGGTGTTTTACTATTATAGTAATTTTTCTTTTATTTCAGATATTTTGTAACGCCCTGTAAGATCTGTCTGATGTACAGTGCGCAAGGGAAAAAAAAGGGAACATCCTGAATAACTTTTGATCTAATGATTGAATATTCCCGTTCTAGGACTCAATCTTATTGGTTTGAGGAGGTGATATCAAATATGCTTACTAGTTAGTGCAGACCAGACGATATTTTAAGTTACGAAATCAGACACGAAAACGAACTTTCTCCGAATAAACATACTATTTTTTCGGCGGATTCGGATTTCTGTCCCTCAAAATACGGAGGATAACTACAGTTTGGGAAATACAGTCCCCATAGCATGGTCAGGAGAGCGGTTCAAAGTTTGGACCCCTTAATGTTTATTTTATTTTTAATATATTTCACCACATCTCGAGAACTTCTAAAGCGAATTGAAACATTGCACACAACTATAAAATTCGTTGAACCAAAGATAATTCCATGCAAAATATAACTTTTAGTAAACATTTATTATTTCTTAATAATAGATGAAAAAGTTTAAATTGTAAGGTATAAAATTTTTTACATATTTTTAAAGAATGTAATTTTGAGCGAAATCGGACGAGTAGTTCCTGAGAAATCGAATTTTAAAGAAACCATATTAGTTAACTAAATTTCATACATATAATTATATTGGGAATAATTATGAAAATAAATGCATTGAAACTATATGACTGCATTAAAATTTCTTTTATAGTAATATATGCAAATGCAACATTTAAACTTAACAAAAATGGAATGTTTCATTATTATGCTGTGAAACAGACCCAAAATAAACAAATCTAGTGTCACAGTTATTTATAGATTTATTTTTCAAATTATGAAATAGCAAAGTAAATTGAGCTGTCTCATGCCTTACTTTAACTTCAGGCTGAGAAATATTTCTATATAGAATAATTCTCTATCATTAACTAACTCTTTTCTATATAGAATGTCTTTCTATATAGAATAATTTATTGCAAATATAAATTTATGTTAAGACATCTTTATATCCTACATTATGATAATTCTCTGTTAATATAACTTAAGTACTTTAAGATTCAGAAATATATTTGCAATATAAAAATAAAACGTGATTTCTATAAATATGTTTCAAAACTAGAAATTAGTCGGATTTTGATCACCTTCATATTTTTTTTCTCAAAAAAATTCAGATTCATAAACTACTTTTTTCAGATGCATAAATACAATAAAAGTGCATTAAATATTCACTTTATTCTTAGTGTAAATTTGAAAATAATATAATATATTTAATACGTCAATTCAAAATCACGGTAATTTTTCATGCTCCACGTATTCATGTAATTTTGATAATTGAAGCATTTTATACATAACAATATGTTTATAAAAGATTTTAAAACTATGAATTATGTTGACTGCCTATTTACTGTTTTTGGTGTGTTTTGTTGAAGCCATTTGGCTCACAACGTGGTGTTTTGAGACTCTCTTGTGTAGTATTTCTTGTATTCCAGTATTTGTGTTTAAAAGAAGATAGGTTGGTACTTTATTTACAACGCACAAGAGCTGCATAATGGGCTGTTGGTGACGGTCTGGGAAGCATCCCTGAGGATGATCCGAAGACATGCCATCACAAATTTGATCCTCTGCAGAGAGAATGCCTCCCCTGGTTTGGTAGCCCGACGACCTGCGTTCAAAGTCTAGCACTTTACAGTAGAACAGTTTAACGAGGACCGATACCGCCCACCCTCGGTCCCTATACAGGCTGATCAAAGTGGTCACCCACCCGCACACCAACAGCAGCCAGTGATGCTTGACTTCTGTGTTCTACTGGGAACCGTGTCCTTACGATCTGTCCACTGCGGGACGTTTAAAAAAAGAATCGTTCTAAGAATCGTCATTTCAAGACGTAGGAATCATCATTTGAAAAAAAATCGTTATAAAATACTTCTTGATAATTTGTAAATTCAACTTAATCTCGCGACTAGAACAGTAGGCTAACACTACCGTATCATGATGCACAGATTGGAACTATTTATAAATCTAGCAACCATGTCACCTTTTTTAATGAGACATTTCTAAATAACTAAAACAAATTCTCACTCTAAACTCACAGAAATTACTTCATATCATTAATATCTTATGATATACAGCAGATTTGAGTTCAAAAATTATATAATTTTTTTTTTTTTTTTTAAATTAAAAATTAAGTTATCTGTTCGAAAATATCACTTCGCAGAATAAGCTGTAGTAAGCAACTGTATACTTTCTAACCGGAAGTAAAGCTGGTCGAGATTGTTGTTTTATACATTTATATTAAATACGCCAGTCCAGAATGATGAAAAAATTATAATAACTTCATATTATAATGCTTTGTATTTTTTTTAATCGGTGATTTATTTAAGAAATAATTTAATTTAAATTAATGATTTTTTTCCTTCAAAAAAATACTACTAAGTTGATTTAAATTAACGAATTCTGCTATTTGGGAACGGTTTTAACCTGTGCTAGGCTGAAGAAGAAGAAAAATCGAGACCAGAGCTTAAGAAAGATAACTTACCCTGGAATTTTAAATTTGGCTCCGTTACTCGATGTACCAGCAGCGATTTTCCCCCTGCTGTCAATAACAATCATTCCAATGGTATCGTGATTATGTTCTCCAAAATCATGCTCATTGGATGCAGCTTTATAAGGTCCACAATATTTCCGAGGATCAGGATTCACATTCTAGAAATGACACACAAAAAGATTAGTGTTTCATTCAATGCAAATGAAATGATTATAATGTGGATTATTTCAATAATTTGTTAACGGGGCGTTTGTAATAGTACGTAACTATGTGTTTGGTAATTTCACTCCCTTTCCTTGTCAGCGAAATAAAGCAAATCACAAACTACCACCCATGCTTATGTAAAGTTTAAAATTCTTACGACCCGCCCTATATATTTTAGGGCATACGTATGTTTCTGAAACGTCGCCGCGGCAGACACGCCCAGGAGAGGGGGTGCTGGTCGAGGAACCAGGCGAAGCCCCACCGTGGCATTTATTTAAAATCAAAAGAGTTACAAAAAGTCAAGGGCAACAGCCCGGCGAACATAAAGTAACATTTGGAAGAAACGAATATAACAAAATCAAACAACATAGACACATAACTTATTCAGACACAATTATTGCTCCTGTGCTGTTACATTTTAAGCCACTGGGTAGAAAAAAAGGCCCTTAAGGTATTTTCTTACTTGGGTTATTGTATAGAGGTCAACGGACCCTTAAATACTAATGGTGGCCTGTGGCATATAAGCTGAAAAACAAAACACAAAATCAGACAAACGTAGAAAATCACAAGTATATACATAGATTAAAAGGCATCAAAGTGAGCCAAAAAAACGTGTAGATTAAAATTTTGGGTAAAGAGCCCAACCAGCATTAAAACAACATCACAATGGTGTTTTGACATAAAATCAATATAAAATCATGACCCGTAAAACACCCATGAATGTAAGAGAAGCAAACTTCTCTTGATTTTTGCTTCAACTGTAGCAGTCCAATTTTAGAATTAAATTCAAATGCAAGATGTAACTTTGTTTTTAAAAAAACATTTATATTTCAATTCATTTTTTAAAAAAATTGAGTCGAATATTCTTTAGGAAGTCTTTCTTCCATCTGTTGTCAAAACTCTTGACATCTGAAATTCACAGGAAAAAAAAGTTTTTTTAATTTTTTTCTTTCTCTAAATTTCAAATTCTCCATTTCAAATTTAAAATGGTTCCAACTTTTTTGTTACAATTCTTTTGCATTAAAAAATTGAAATAATGTGATTTTTAAAGTCTTACCTCCTCTTACCTCACTTGTTAGAGCAAAAAAATAAAAAAGCAAATCACAAGCCTCCCTTCTCCGTTAAAGAAGAATTCCAGCAGATCTGCATTATAGATCTGTATTTACACAGGATGCTCGATAATGACTACTCTGAATATATATAGGGCTATCACGTAAGGTTCAATCTCGTCTATGAGATCATAACAAACAAGTTTAGTATTCGAAGTTTTGTTTGAAAACGTAATCATCGGCAGCGGAAATCTCCGCAAGCACCATGTATAAAGTGAAGCAGGGTCGTTTTAGACGTTGTGGAAGGAAGATTAATTAATCATTCTCACTGCTTTCGATTCACGCACATCCGATCGCCGTCGAGGGGGGGGGGCTGAGAATCTAATTGGTGAAATACATTCTTCCGTCTGAAAACCCACCAATTAGGTTCTCTTCTTTCACGATAGTGATAGGATGTGCGTTAATCGCGTGCAATGTGAACGATCCTGGAATAGGCTTATACGTATCATGTTTAGAAAGCCGTGGATAACTATTGTTTCCTTCAGCTGTATCATTAAATACGTTTTTGTCAAGAAAACAAGATGAAGATTTCGCAAACCCGTTGCCACTTAAGCATATCCTAAACAAGCATGCAATCACTTTACGCTTCCCCAAAGTATGGATGGTTTTTACTTTACTTTATATTTTATTTTATAACCGTTGTTGAAAAATCGGTGCAATTTAGGGTTTACGACCACAAATGTTCAACTACGCAGCCTTGTCACTTTGAACCCAATCCAGAAGACAAGGGAACTCCTGGATCAAGTATTGGGAGAAATTTGCTTTGGTGGAGAACTTCTTGATTTAACTAACCCGCATTTAGCGTTACATGGAGATGAAGACCACGAGANTGGTCGTTTTAGACGTTGTGGAAGGAAGATTAATTAATCATTCTCACTGCTTTCGATTCACGCACATCCGATCGCCGTCGAGGGGGGGGGGCTGAGAATCTAATTGGTGAAATACATTCTTCCGTCTGAAAACCCACCAATTAGGTTCTCTTCTTTCACGATAGTGATAGGATGTGCGTTAATCGCGTGCAATGTGAACGATCCTGGAATAGGCTTATACGCATCATGTTTAGAAAGCCGTGGATAACTATTGTTTCCTTCAGCTGTATCATTAAATACGTTTTTGTCAAGAAAACAAGATGAAGATTTCGCAAACCCGTTGCCACTTAAGCATATCCTAAACAAGTATGCAATCACTTCACGCTTCCCCAGAGTATGGATGGTTTTTATTTTGCTTTATATTTTATTTTATAACCGTTGTGGAACAGTCGGGGCAATTTAAGGTTTACGACTACAAATGTTCAACTACGCAGCCTTGTCACTTTGAACCCAATACAGAAGACAAGGGAACTCCTAGATCAAGTATTGGGAGAAATTTGCTTTGGAGAACTTTTTGATTTAACTAACCGACTAACCCGCATTTGCGTTACATGGAGAGGAAGACCACGAGAGCATCCCAGGGTTAGCCTGACGAAAGGGAACTCTAACTTGTAAGCATAACGTGAGGGGAGGGATACATCGGAAGTTTTCAAAATTCATTCCGGTTTTAGGATACTTGTTATTGTTTGCATTTAGTCAATCATCCATATCGAATTAAGCAGAAAGTAGAAATTCAGGATCTCTTTAAGACAAAAAAGGGATTTGTTCTTGGATTGTACTTCCTGTTCGAAATTTCCTTAATTACTAATTACTACGAAATTAATATATATTTTGAATATTTTTTGTGTCCTTTTACTCATTAAAATTTGTTCCATGGAAGTATCTATAAAATTTTCAAAGTTTACTGATTTTTCAAAGCTCCAGTTTTAAAAATTCTTAACTCAACATTAAAAATTTGTTAATTATGTTCATATAAAAATAATTCAATGAAAAAAAAAGTATTAATAGATTACGACATAAAATTCTGAAATTCGCGATCTAAAGAAAGTCTGGATATAAAATTCGGCAAAAGTCGAGGAAATAAAAACTGAAGTAGTGGGACATTGACGGGTGAAAAAGGAATGTCACATTTGGCTAGAACCGTTCGCTTTGATTTACGGACGAAAATTTCAGGGCAAAACTTGCTCATCATGGTTTCTCTTTTACCAGCTTTGTAAAGTTTGTTTGAACGCCCTTCCTGGGCACCCTGTATATTTTAAGAATGTTTGTGAAAAAGAAAATAAAACAGCTATGTACGATAGTAGTCACAAATTAGTATTTAAAATTGAAAAAAACACAAAGGTTATCAGATGTTATCAGGCAAATCATCATCGAGGTCAATAAGAGCAAAAGAGGAATAAAGTAAATTAAAATCAGTTTCTTGAAGTGGTTCCTACAATGTGCTCTGCATATTCAACAGACAAATTACACTTCCAGTCCACAAAAGCAATGGGCTAAAATTAACTAGCAACCGTCTATATGCATAGTTACTTTCTTTCTTCTTTTTTGACAAAGATACTAAAAGAGCCACTGTGGCTCAAAGAATAGAGCACTCACCTCCCAATGAGATGGTCCAGGTTCGAATCCCAGGGATGGCGAGTCGATACGAATATTGCTCCTGGCTCGCACCACCCACAATGCATACGTAAAACATGCTCAGCTTAAGCAGATCATAGGTTAGAATCATCTTGCAGTCGGTCTAACTGTGATTCATGAACTGAGTTTTCATGGTTTCCTTGTGTCGTAATGTGGGTGAGTTCCATGTTCCATCAAAAATTTCTCCACGATGGCTAGTTGGTCCCAAAGAAAGACCAAGAAGTTCCCTTTTATACTGGGTTGGATTTAAAAGTACAAGACACCGGAGTTTTAAGTCAAAAATAGTACTACTGTTCAACTCTGGTTATAAAATAAATGATACTAAAAATATGCATTAAAGGCAGTCATTACGGTACACCTAGTATTACACAGAATGAGTTCGTTATTTTAAGCAAATCATTTAAACTTCACTAAGATTTGCGTCAATTCAATATAAGTTGCATATTGTACTGTTTACTTATGTGAATTTTAATTTACAAATATAATAAATACTTCTTTCAGGGTCTGCAAATCATAAGCATCCAGAAGCCAAGTCACCTAAAAAAACATATCTGGCACCAATTATTTTAATAAAATTTAGTAACAAAAGCAAATTGTTGTAACGCTACTTTCCAATTTATGTTGGCTCCTAAAACTTGCTCGTAGCTCCTAGAAATTTTACATATTTGTAGATCCCTGCTTCTTCTGTTGATAACATAATTATTTCGTTTACAAAACAGTAATCAATTTTTTACATTTTTTTCATAATTACCTTCCAAAAATTAGGTTGACAATTATTCATTTTCCATTTTTTCCACAATTCTAAAGAAAAGTTAGAATTCAAATTTTCTTCCTTGAAACCCATTTTCAAAGCAAATTGAGTAGCTAGAAAGAAATTAAATAAAACCTAATATATAAACTATGAATCATAAGTTACGATTAGGAGTTATTAACAGTGGGTGCCTTTGTAAATAGGATCTCTCGATAATGGCTTTTAACAATTTAAACTCATGCATTCATAATGTCTACTAGATAACTTTTGTTGTCCAAATCGACCTCCTTATTAAATGCAGAATTTGTTGGAGTAATTTAGAGCAGGTGACATTGTCAACAGAATCTTTTGGAGATGGTCCTCAACAATATACATTTATGTCTTAAGTCTACTAGATCAGCGGTTCCCATTTTTTTCGGCTATGCTATATGCAACCCTAAATGATCTAGCTTCTTTTGGCGGAATCCCGACTTTTCAAACTAAGTTCATTAGCAGTTGAAAATATAATAGCCAATGAAAGTGCTAATTAATTTTAAAAATATTTAATGTTAATAATAAGGAGTTGAACGTAAGTAGTCGTAAACCCATGAAATTGGGTCGGCTGTTCAACGACGGTTATAAAATAAAATAAAATGTTAATAATAAGGAGTCGCGGTGGCTCAGGGGATAGAGCGTTCGCCTTCCAATGAGGTGACCCGGCTTCGAATCTCGGCAATGACTAGTCTATGTGAGTTCCATATTCGACTAGCACCGACCACAATGGTAGACGGATCATGGGTTAGAGTCCCCTTGCAGCCAGCCAGGCTAACCGTGGGATGTTCTAGTGGTCTTCCCCTCCATGTAACGCAAATGCGGGTTACTTCCATCAAAAAGTCCTCCACGAAAGCAAATTTCTCCCAATACTTGATCTAGGAGTTTTCTTGTCTTCTGGATTGGGTTCAAAATGACAAAGCTACGGAGTTGAACATTAGTAGTCGTAAACCCTACATTTTAATCGACTGTTCAGCGACGGTTATAAAATGTTAATAATAAAATATTTTCACCGTTTTAAAATAGTCTTAAAATTATACTTCATGCCAAACAGCTTAATTCATAAATTTAAAATGACATCTAAATTTGTTCTTGGTATACGGGCAAGAAATGAATAAAATAAACTGAATTATGGTTTTCGAGAAAATAAAACGTGGTTATCAGCGAAACATAATTCTTTATCATAATTCATTGGTCCTTTTATTTTAGATTGAAAATTTTGTTGAAAAAGCCGATAGAATTTTTTAATAAATGCATATACTTTTCACGATTAATTCAATACATTATTATTCAAAAAAATTATTTTTTTGTTGCTATTTTTGTTATTGACATTTTACTTAAATAGTATTATATTAATAATAGATATAGTGAATAAATTATTGATTACTTGTATATTAATAGTATAATTACAGGTTTAAAATATCATTACTGGTGCAAAAAAAAAAAAATTCCCAACTCTCAGACCTACTTTGATCCATCCACGAAACCCCAGGGTTTCTATTAAAAACCGCTATACTAGAGAATCAGAATCAACTAAACTAAAAAAGAACGATACGGAGAATGTTATAGCTTAGAATGGATCCGTTTTAGAAAAACATCCACTCATCCAAACAAAACAGTCGTAATAAATACCCTGATCTCCAACCAGTAAAGAATGTTCTGTGTTTTCTAAAACCTTCCTTGCCACAGATATCGCATTTTTGATTCTCCGCAAAGCAGCAACAGCACCGACATCATGGGTTGACCTAAAATACAAGTTATTTAAAATCTCTGAAACAACGTGATGAATTAATTTGACAATAAAGAAGAAGAAGAACTCACCCATCCATAATCATTGCATCTAAAGTCGTTTCTCCATTTTCATCAGGACTTCCTCCATATCCTACCGTGTGATCGCACTGTTCAATTTCACATTGTGAGCATCCTTTCTCAACAGCATCCAACGCACATCCTCTGTTATCTTTAACAACATTCCACGCTACATTCAACACAACATTTTAATTGAGCTGTTTAGTGAAGGAACAAGTGGATGGTTGACTGAATGTAAACAATACCAAGCTTATTAAAACCGGAAGAAATACAGAAAACTTCCGGTGTATTCTTCCACTTATGTAATGCTTACGAGGCGATGTGTGAACAAGTTTAATATTCTAGGAAGTTTTATTATTGTAATTTGTGATCAAATTTAACCCCTAGCGCCATCTGTGTTTAGCTTTACACGGTCAACCATCCATGGGAGTAGCGAGAAAAACAAAAAAAAAATTTCTTTGTAAATAGTTTTTACAATGCATTTCATGCTGCATACATCATTTAAAAAGAATAAAAAAAAACTGCAAGCGGTACACGAATAATAAAAAAATATTGAAGCGTCAAGTATTAAATGCGTACGGAAAAAAAAGACAAAGTTAGTTGATAGTTTACGGATATAAAGAACCATTTTATTTATTTAAGTATGTACCCGTATTTTCGTTTTCACTCTGCAAGCGACAGTTAGTTAAGATAAGTTCGAGAAAAAAAAATCCATGCAGACAATAGACAAAATCATAAGCATCGTTTGAGCACCAAACATTTGCAATCAGCATTTTTTTACTTATTTAATTTTATTTATATTTGTGAATATTACGCGTTGGAATGCGTTTAGGAAAAACACATTTGTTCAAACAACACTAGAGCCAAATACACTAACAATATTTTAGGTGGTCTGAGATGATAAGAACTCATACTTCACAAAAGTGTGAATTTCCCGTTGTTCGCTTTTAAATAAAATGTATTTTAAAAAAATATGTTTTATCATTTTTATAGATCGATGATTTAATTAAGAAAGTGAAATATGTAACTTTTCGTTTGAAAAGGAAGAAAAAAAATGTAAAATGTTATGCCAAAAACGATAAAATATTAATTTTATTTCACACAGATTTAAACAAGGTGTTACATAGCGATGCTCATTAATAATAGGTATTTTTAGAATCTTTATTAAAAATGAAAACAAAACAAGTATATACACGAGGAGGGTAGCAAATTAATATTTAAAGCGATGGAAAAAAAAAATTCGAAATCTGATGAAACACACACTGAAATGCGATATTTATAAACATCAAAACAGGTTTACTTGAAGAGATTCCCTATAATATTCCTCCCGGTATCAAACATGTCTACTTGTTAATTATTTACACCTTTCTGTCCTGGTATCTATCGGAACTCGATAGTTTTTTCCTCATTTAAATATTAATTTTAGACCCCGATAGGTGTACTTTATTTTTATTTTTGATAAGGATTCTAAGAGCATGCATTATAAGGGTAATTTTAACGGAACACTCTGCATAAACACTTAAGAGAGTAAGATTTTGTACTTTCAGACCACAAATTGGAGATTCAATCATTTTATAATGTTAATTTAAAGTCAAGTGCTCCAATTCTGAGGACAGTTTCATTTTACCTTGCATTTAAAATGTTTGAATCTTTCACAGGGGTTTCAAATTTCTTTTTCAAACAATTTTACTTATAAACTAATTTCCAACACATTTTTAAAATGATTACAAATGTTTTATGTAATAGTNTATTTTACCTTAATTTTAATTAAAAAATATTTTAAAACCTGCTGATTACCTATAGTATAATTAAATTTCAATATAATGCATGGCAACTGTTGGTAGTTTTGAAGTTTATATATTTTCTTGGCAAACTTCAGTTTTTGACATTTTTGACGGGTTTTTGACGGTTTAAACCAGTATTATACCCTTGTCATGTCAAAAACCACTTTTTGATGTCAAAAACCCAACCCTGATTTATGAATGTCAAAACAGGTTTACTTGAAGGTAGGAAATTGAAGGGATTCCCTATAATATTCCTCCCGCTATCAAACATGTCTACTTGTTAATTACTTACAACTTCCTGTCCTGGTATTTATCGGAACTCGATAGTTTTTTCCTCGCTTAAATATTAATTTTAGACCCCGATAGGTGTACTTAATTTTTGTTTTTGATAAGGATTCTAAGAGCATGCATTATAAGGGTAATTTTAAGGAACACCCTGCATAAACACTTAAGAGAGTAAGATTTTGTACTTTCAGTCCACAAATTGGAGATTTAAGTATTTAATAATGATAATTTAAAGCCAAGTGCTTCAATTCTGAGGACAGTTTCATTTTACCTTGCATTTAAAATGCTCGAATCTTTCACAGAGGTTCCAAATTTCTTTTTCAAGCAATTTTACTCATAAACTAATTTCCAACACATTTTTAAAATAATTACAAATGTTTTATGTAGTAGTTTGATAGTTTGGAAAACGTAAGATTTATTAAGTTATTTTTTTAAAATTCATATATATATTACAGTTTAATTCATATATATATATACAGTTTTTATAATTTACTATATAAAATATTTATAGCAAGTTATAAAAACTCTTTTCTAATAAAACTAGTTTCCCCTTATAACTTGTTATTTGAGGTGCATAACAATAGCAGTTTTTAATGCTTTTGTGTGGATAATAACTCAGATTTTTAAAAGTTAAACTTTTATCCGCAAGAACTTTTAAATCAACTAAAACCAAAATAACGAAATCATCAGTATTTTAGAATTTAAACATTTAATATTCCTTCAAACCTTTAAAAAAATCCTTAGAAGTTATGTTCTATTTTAAAAATAGATCTTCAAGTTTGTATGCTTGTTAAAAAAAGGATCAATATTATTACGTTCAGATGAATTTTAAGTGTCTAAATTTAATAAAATAAAACTTACCTTTTTCAGTAGCATTTGTAAAAGCCCAAGTATTAATCACCATAGGAATAAAGAGCTTATCGGTCATTACACTAGAAATGCAAACAAAATAAGTTAGGAAGATATGACTTAAAAGGACCATTATTAATTATATTTATCACACAAATACTAAATGGGAAGGTATTAAGCGAAAGCTTTGATTTACTTTTTTTGTTTTTTCGAATAATATCTTACAAATCTATTATCAAAGCTGATAAAAGTAAAATTTCTGTTTGTTTACTTTTCAATCGATAGCATCTTTGTGCAAGTATGATTTCTTTAGACCTCATTAAGCGCTTTATTAAAACCTTCTCACTTTCACATATTTCTTCCCTAAATTTTTCCTACTACTTGTAAATAAGCTCTCCAAGTTTTACTCTATAATTCTTTTTATTTCAGTTAATTATTTCAAAGATTTGAGCAAATTATTAGTTTTTGCACGTACAAATCTTAAAACATTATTATTTCGGCGAGATTTTGCACTCATTTTATTACAAAAATAAGCAGTTAAGATCGTGTCTCTATAAGCTTCATAAAATAGCAAATCCGATCTGATTGTTGATGACAAGCTGACAACTTCAAGATTTTGTAATTCCACAGTATCATATTTTTCTAGTAAGTACTATGGGGCGATTTCCATATTGGTATCATATCCAAGATGATCGCTAATTTTTTGCAACTCCCGTAGACTGCTGGAAATTTAAAAAAAAAATCATAAAAGGGGACCAACTAAAAACAAGGGTAATTGTGAGACAAAATGAAAAACCCTGAAACTTTAATGTCCGAAAAATAGATATTAATTTATGTACCAAACATGTTTCATGTTTACATAATTTTTTGAATTGGCATTTATAAAGACCTACTAAAGAATATCAAAACTTTATAGTAATTATAATTCAAGAATAAACTTACTTTTTTCAAAAATAGCGATATTGAATTTTAAAATTGCTTGAACCAATGAGTTAAATGAATATAAACCGCATTATGGGATTTAAAATCGCAAAAATGCAAATTGCGATATTGAATTATATGAATCAGGAGGCATAATTTTTGGATAAAGTTAATACATATCGCAATACATAGTTTTTAAATCACGTATAAATACGAAAATCGATGTTTGATATTACAAGCTCGTAATTACAGATCGCAATATTGGATTTTAAATTAGCGTGAATACAAACGCAACAATTAATTTTAAACTTGCATAAATACGAATCCTCGACATTGGATTTTTAACTACTCGCTAGAATATGAGCTGTGATATTGGGTTTTAAAAACGCATAAATGTTAGATATAAATCCAACATCACATTACTTGATTTTTTAAATCTGTGAATAGGAATTGCATTGTAGGATTTCTAAATCACATGAATACGAAATTTTTTTTACTGAGTTTTTGCTCTGCATCAGAAAATAATATTTAAATTATGAAGTCATCAAAATGAATAATTTTCTTTAATGAATAATTTCTCGGTACTTGATTTGTTAAAAATTATAGATATAATTTATTTTAAATATTTTTTTTATAATTTATGATAAGGTTGCATAACCCACTGCTCTCAAATAAGTTAGGTAAAAAAAGTTCCACCACCTTGCAAACAAATATGACCTAGTAAATCCTGTAAAACTAGTCATGGAAATTTTTTATTTTTTTGACGATTGTCTTGTTTTACTAGAGTAATTAGTGAAACCAGGAATTTTCCCATCTGTCAGCAATTATTATATTTCCTCTGCGAGAGATGAGTAAGGAGTAATTTCATAGAAGTTTTCACCATGGAAACATGTTAAAACTGACTTGAAACAGAATTTTTCTTTTTTTTTTTTTTGAATTGAGACAAAAAAAAATTATTATTGTTTGTTTTTAATTGTAAATTTAGTTAACTCAAATATTAAGTGAAAAATTACAATCTTAGAAGGGACTGTGCATTTATGAATTGTGGAAGGCCTCCTCCCCCTCAGTTATCGCAGTCATTTATCATATAGTTATAAAAATTATAAATAAATTGATGTGAAACTAATTTATTTATTTATTTCTTTAATAGATATAATTTAAATAAAGAAGAGCTACATAATAATTTATAAAGCCATTATGAATCATTGCTGGTATGTATTTTTTTTACTTGTATCTGTCTATTTATTTTTTTAATTTCAATAGTATGTTTATATGAATGTGTTGGTATAGGAAAGATTGATTGCAGTTTTTGTTTTATAATAATGGTTCAAATAATTCAATTTCCTATTCATTCTTCAAGTGTTTTTTATCAGATTTAAATTTCATTTCAAACTTCAACCAAATTAATCTAGGAAATTATATACTCTCCTATGCACTATAATACTGCTGCCTAAACGAAATATAAATCGAAACACTTTTAAAAATTATTTACAATGTCGCAATTATTTTATGTCTTATCATATACATTCATAAAATTCGAAGTAAAATAAAAGCTGCCATCACTGGGATTCAAACCCAATTCACCTCATTAGAAAGCGAACGCCCCATCCCCATAGCCACCATGGCTCTCATCACATTATTGGGAATAACTTATGTTTAAAACTATGGTTGATATATTCCTGAGTCAAGGATCGCACCTTGTTTTATTTCCCCTCTCTTGACCTAGCCATAAATTCACCTACTGAAATATGGCAAATGATCTTATCAGGTAATAAGTTCAAGATTTCACAATCAGTCAGCTCATGTTTTCATACATCATTCATTCTATTTATGAAAATTCTTCATTACTTTTTGAGGTGCCGGACAAATAATATTCAAGTGGTTCAGTAATGTACACATAGGGATAAAGTTGATAAGGGATAAGTTGTATTTTTCTAAAAAAATTCCTAGAATAATGTATTGCATTATAATAAAATTCTTATTTAATTCATTTTAAATTCTTTTGTGTTGTTTGCATTTGTATTAAAATCACTATTAATGTACTGCTATCAACCATGTAAACAGTATTTTTTCTCATGTTTTTTACGCGTTTATTAAGCAAAGAAATGTGATATCTGATCATGTTATCAATTTACTTTTACTACATTTTTTCATGTTATAAATAGATTAAAAAAAGTGAACAAAATTATTATAGTAGTTGTTTTTTTAATGTGCTCCTTTTGGCCAGTATTCTCGCCAGTAAATCACTGTTCAATTTTGACCATTACAAAAAAAAGTTATACAAATAATAAAATTTTGACATTCATTAAAGAAATTTTGACATTCATTAAAGAAGTGACAGACAGAAAAATGAACTACCACTTTATAAATTGCAGAATCAATACAAATTGACCAACATGTAGAATTAAAACTTCAAAATATAACATTTGACAGTTAACATTCATTCAAAATAAGTAATAATTTCTCAGTTAATTGAATATTTTTATAACATGTTTGTTGTAGTTATTGGGTCTTGACATACGCATGCTCATTTTCTGTCATTAACTATCAATTTATTCTGATGATTTTAGTACATAAATTTTATTTTTTCTTCTCGCAAAAATCAAATGTTTAGTACAAAATGAAATATACTTAGTAGTTAAAAATTGATATTTTGAATTACATGCATAAAAATTTTAAGGTTTTGTATCCACTGCATATTCGCTTAAAGCTGCTGCTACTCAGGGTGGCAGTGGTAAAGTTCGCTTCTAATAGATCATTATTTTTCTAAAAATTTAAAAAAAAATTAATTTAACTATTTTCTAAAAAAAATAATTCTATATAACATATCAAAGAACTGGACACCACTTTGCAACAAAAAAGTACCACATACTTTAGGCATGAGCATGTATCCTTTTAAACCTTCAGTAAAGTGCTATCATTCATCATTCTAAATTGCATCTACATTAACTTTTCCCAAAATAGATTCAGGTTTGAGAAAGAGATGAAGCCAAAATAAACTTCCCACAATATATACTTGGGTTTAACAATTCAGTGCACTCAGAAATATTTCCTTGAGTAATACTCCGGCGTGACATTTTGGAACACTAGTGCTCTGCCCGAGATTATTTTGATCAGGACAGTTAAATGGTTAAATAGCTCTAGTTTCAAAGATGTTAAGTTGAATGAATGAACTTTATGCTAATGCTATAGAAATGTTGGATTACTTAAGAATTAGATTACATAATACTGTTTGTGTTTATTACAATATAGCTGATTCAGACATTGGATTACACTATATTCAATCAAATTCCTTTTTCAGGTAAAAAAAAATTTTTTTAGCAATAGTTTTAAAATTTGGCAAGTCCTGAAAGCTAATTTTGGCATTTTTCTTAAAAAAATTGTCAAGGCAACATTTGTATATGTAGTTCAATAATGGGAGAAAGCAGTTTTAACTGAATCTTCTGCATAAAATACAATTTTGTGTGTTTTGAAATAGCAAAGAAAGAAAGAAAATATTGCAATAAATTCATTGTTGCAATAAATATCATATGTTGCAGTAAATTCATTGAATATTAAATTTGATATTATTAAGAATATTACTTTTGATGGCAATCTTTATCATCTGAATCACCTGAAATAGTTATCTAAAAGGATTTATTATATTTTCTTCTCATACAAAGTTTTTTTTCTTCAATAATTTGTTATTGAAGTTAAATTTTGTGAGTTAGATCTGAGCCAAGTTAATATTTGATTCGTTAATATTTAATTTACAGTTATTATTTTATATATAATTAATAATAATATATATAAAATAATATATATTAATATAATAATATTTAATTTACAGAAAGCAATATATATAAAATAAATTTTGATCTAATAGTCAAACTTTCATGTATTAAGCATCAATGGTTCAAGAATCTAATCTTAAATATGCTAATTATTTATTATGGATGATATTTCAGGTTACAAAATTGGACGCAGAAATGTACTTTCGCTAAATTAACATACCTTTTTTTGACGTAATTGTATTCCTGATTTTTAAAATATGGGAGTAATCGCAATTTAGGAAATACAATCCCGATAGTTTAGACAGATCAGAGGTATATTTTATTTTATGATCTCAAAATCGTTATATTTTTCAGTTTGTTTTTCTCAAAAACTATTTGACCTATCAGAAACCATCTTCCAATTTTGAATTTTGTCATTTAAAATTATGCAGATTAAATTAGTATCAAAAGTTGTATACAATTCAACATTTTTCAAACATTCGTAAATTTAACAACAATAAAAATTTTAAAAAAACATTTTTTAAATTGAATTAGCTTTGGATAAAGAAGTTTCACGGTTGTGTAGAAACTTTTTTTTATTCGCATTAGTTCTGGCAATATGATAAGATTAAGTTAAAAGCTGCTAATTTTTGGTTACTCTGCTGACTATTAACTGTCAAAAATCCAAGTTTGTCCAGAAAAAAATTTATGTTTAATTAAAGAATTATTTTTGATTGATTTAATTTAAAACAATGTCTGCCCTATTTAGCTAGCATATTTACTTAAGGCTAAATCTTGAATAGGCCTTTTTTGTTTTCAAAGGTTATGCCCCTTTTTTTTTGTACGCTATAGATTATTTAAAAAAGAGATTATCTATAATATTTTATATATATTATGGATGTGTTTTTTTTAATTTTTTAACATCTTTTTTTTTCTTCTTCTTCATGGCAGGAAAGATGAAGCAATAGATCTGGTTAGACGCCCTTTAGCTGAGACTGGACAGAATGGGAGGTATGTTTTTGCACATTTTTATCATGCAATACAGTAGTGGAGATTTAATTTGTTTCCCTTTTATTTGATGGAATCTTTTTTTAAAAAAAAATTTTTATGTATTGATACATTTATTATTATTTTTTTGAAGAAATGAAGAAAATGGTAACTCACAGTTAGTTGAAAGTAAAGGACATCGGTAAGAATTTACTATTATTATATATTTTGAGATATTTAATTCAGTAGTTATAAATATTTTAGAAAAAATGTTCTGAAATTGTAACATCACTTTATATCAAATATTTTATCTTACTGTTGTATGTATCCTAATTAGTTAGTTTATACCTATCCAAATCCTCTTTAAAATTTGTTGACTCATTTTTAAATGTATGAAAGTAAAATATCTTGTGAAATATTAACTAAAGGATCCGAAATCTGCAATTTATCTAATCCCAATATGTAAAGGTTTTAAGTGTATATGTTTAAAATGTATGTAAATATTTATTGATGTAACTATGTTTTATGTTTCTATGCGTTTTTATTTTAAATGATTTTATTAATATGAATTTCTACCCTTAATAATGGAAAGAAACTTAAATCAAAGACCTTTTCTAAATAAGCACACTGTTACATCTTTAAAAGAGAGATTTAAACTAAGGAAGCATAAAACCTGTAAAGATTTAATGGTGGCTGATTTTGTATTATTTTATTTTAGTCACGTAGATGAGCTCTGAGGATGATAACAATAGATCTTCGTTATATACAGCTTGAAAGCCTAACAGGATAACTGTTAAGGCATCTGACCAATGGTCTGTACTGTAGAACTAGAGTGCAACTTTCAAGAGTCAGTGCCGTTGTTCTATCGTCTCATTACTTTGAGGATGGTAAGGTGAGGATCAAACTCTTTAGATGCCCAATAAATGTGCTAGAGCTGTGAAGAGTTTACTCTTGAACTGGTGATCCAGGTCGGACAATTTCACTAAAGGTGATCCAAAGCGAACAATCCAGGTTTTAAAGAAAGCTTCTGCCATCATCTCTGCTTTAATGTGCGGCATCGGAACTGCTTGCACCCATTTAGTACATCTATCGATCATTGTCAAGCAGTATGAAAATCCTTTAGATCGTGGTAATGGGCCAACGATATCAAGATGTATATGGTTAAAGTGTTTGGACTTGATTGGAAAATAAATAATACTAGTGGTAGTACACTACACTAGTATTGTGAGATATATTTTCCAAAGTTAGCAGATTAAAATATGTCATTGTATGTGAGGCAATTTTTCTATGCAATAAATATAACTTTTACAGTTTAAAACATTTCTTTTCTGACACGATTTTTACCTCACACCTTAACCGCATAATATGTTTAAAAATTAATAATATCATATAAAGTGTTATAAAAGTAAGTGTCATTTTAGAAATTTTTCTGGAGAGCCCTTTTTTTTTCTTTCTGAGAGAGCGAGAAGATG